TCGAATGTCTCCCAAAGAGCTCAATCAGTTGCGCAAACAATTCGATGAGTTAATAGAGAAAAGGTGGATTAAGCCAAGTTTCTCACAGAATGGTGCACCGGTCTTGTTCGTGTCGAAGAAAGAAGGTGATCTGCGTACATGTATAGATTATAGGGGACTTAATGCAATAACTATAAAGAATGTTGAGCCATTACCGCGAATATACGATCTCCTAGATAGAGTGTAGGGTTGCAAGTTCTTCTCGAAGATAAACATGAAGTCGGGCTACCATCAATCGAGGTATTGCCTGAGGATCAACACAAAACCGCTCAGTGGTTAGAGCACCGGTTTGAAATGCGCATTGTGCAGTGGTATGAGGTTGCGGGTTCAAAACTTTGAAAACCTTGCGCATGGACATCGGCAGGGCGTTAGCCTGATGCACGGTTGGACACACACCCCCTTGGGATGATGCAGGTAAGCTATTACAGACACTGCTTGCGCACCACCCAAGGGGTAGCTCATGGTTGTTGTATGTTGGGACTGGGCGATGGTGGCGTATCCTGATGTTTTTGGTCTAAGGGGTCGTCACGAGACTGCAGGGTGCTTTGTCCAATCCGGTTTACTCGAGCCAAGCAGAGCACAACTACAAATTATTTCACAGTATATGTCAATAGGTTAGGTCATTTGCACGATTCACATGAGGTCTTGTGTTTGATACCAGATTATGACGGGCTAGTCATCATCCTAGTACGCAATCAAGAGTTGAGGTTGGCATAGCAGTTCCTTAGTACAAGATGTCGGGGGTGTCAGGAGATACTGCACTTAACCGCGGGGCCGAAACGGGAATGGAGGATTATAAGCTCTCACAGATTACCATACAACACAGGGGATTCTCGAAGAACAATAGTTACAATCCATGATTCACGACTTAGGGTTGGCTATCCTCCTAGTATTTACCTTACGGTTGAGGTTAGCATAGCAGTTCCTTACTACGGGATGTCGGGGGTGTCAGGAGATACTAAACCTTACCGCGGGGCCGGAACAAGCTCCACAGATATACGAGGGAACAAAGGGTCCCCAACTCTCGCTACCATCAACACAATAGAACATTGTACTCCAGGGTCAATAGATACAGTCCATGATTCACGACTGAGGGTTGGCTATCCTCCTAGTATGTACCTTAGGGTTGAGGTTGGCATAGCAGTTCCTTAGTACGAGATGTCAAGGGTGTTAGGAGATACTGCACCTTACCGCGGGGCTGAAACGGGCTCCAGGGATATACGAGGAACAAGGGTCCCCAACTCTCTCTACCACCAACACAATAAAACATTGCAGTAATACTCGCGACTAAGGATCGGCTATCCGCCTAGTACATCGCATAGAGTTGAGGTTGGCAGAGCAGTTCCTTAGTACGAGATGTCATGGGTGTGAGGAGATGCTGCACCTTGACGCGGGGCCGAAACAGGCTCCAGGGATACAAGAGGGAACGGAGGATTCCCAACTCTCTATCATCACCACACAAGTGCGCTAGATGGGAGTCACTGTGCACCCTCGTGAAAACCTATAGTAACATGTTCATACCTAGCTCCCGAAGTCCCCGTGCAATTGGGCTTACACGACGTCTGCTTCAACCGGTGCTGAGCAGGGGTAAGGGGTCTCTGCTTAGCCTTGGTGCCGGCAACCGCTGTCTGGTCAGGTAACAACGCCAAGATGGTGATAGGTAATGGTCCTGGGTGGTTAACACTAGGGTAGGACGAAGGGGGTGGGGGTGCGCCAGGGCAAAAAAATGAGAGGAAGGGTGGGTGGGGTCTTCAAAGGGGTTCATCGGGACAACCTAGTAGCCAAGAATGGTGGGTGACTCACATCTGTCTAATATCCTACCTCTACAACCAGGGCTTAAAAAAAAAAAAAAAAAAAAAAAAAACTCGATATGACCACTACGAATTTGTGGTCATGCCGTTTGGACTGACAAATGTCCCTGCTACCTTTCAGCGTTGTATGAATGAACTTTTTCGCAATTGGTTAGATAAATTTGTTGTTGTGCGACATTGAGATTTTCAGTAAGACATTCGAGGAACACCAACAGCACTTACGTTTAGTGCTAAGTAAGTTGCGCGATGCACGGTTTAAGTTGAGACCAAGGAAGTGTGAGTGGGCCAAGTGTCAGGTATTATATTTGGGACATGTGTTGGATGGAGATGGAATTAAAGCAGAAGATGCCAAGATAGCAGCAATTAGAGATTGGTTGACGCCACATACGTTGACGAACTATTACCGCAAGTTCGTGAGGAACTTCACTGTAATCGCTGCTTTGTCGCGTAGTCTGTTGAGGAAAGAGACAGTTCGGAGATGGGATAAAGACTGTACTTCAGCCTTTACGCGGCTGAAAAAGTGCTTAATAGATCGCTGATCCGTCCATACCGTTTATCATTACCGCCAACGCTAGTCAATACGGCATAGGTGCTGAAAGATGGGCATTGCTAACTATTACCGCCATCGCTAGTTCCTTGGCCTGGCTAACTATTACCGCCAACGCTAGTCAGACCTGTTGAGTTCATGTCCTGTAGACTACCTCGTGAGAAGGTCGCCGCATCTACATATGAAAGAGAACTATTTGCTCTTAGAGAAGCCTTGAATCATTGGCGGTACTACCTCCCAACTCGGCATTTCAACGTGTATTCAGACCATGAGACACTACGCTGGCTTAATCCCCAAGCTAGAATGACACCTAAGTCGACAAGGTGGGCTGGGAAAATTGATCACTTAGACTTTGAACTAAAGCCAGTCAAAGGGAAGTATAATATTGTCGTTGATGCGTTAAGTAGGCGAGCAGATTTCTTCGGTGCCACTGCAACATACTGTTACATGCACAGATATGCAATGTACGTAATAAACCGAGAATCTGCAATGTGATGAAAAGGACTGAATTGACAATGCGGTACGAGTAGAATCTCGACAAGCAATGTACATTCTCATTCATACATAAAGATGCTGAAGAGCGCAGGGAAGACTTTGATACAAGACTGATCTGACAGGACTGACCTCATTCRCGTAGTTCAGAGTAACGAAGCAGAATGCTAGAGTACCTCTAACTAACCCAATCAATGTTTGAACTCAGACTAAACATGCATTGTACCCATCACGAAGTGTGMGGGAGYCTGGCGCTGCACACAGGAAGAAAGCGCCAGGTCCAGACATACACAGACGAAGAGATAAGGAACAGACGAAAGGAGGGAAGAAGATGGGAATGTCGTTAACACCAAGTCTTGGTCACCAATCCCAAATAGTCCCTCGTTGCCATGTCTGAACCCTCGAAAGTCAAGTCTGGATCCAATGTCACCAAGCTCTGTATCTCTTCTCTCATAGTCTGCAGATGCAGTGAAGTCGGAAGTGAGAGGTAAGAAGAAGATGGTGGACTGAGAAGAGGAAGAAGAGAACTCTCTCTCTCTCACTGTTACGAACCAGGTACTAACCTGTGATGTTGGCGCTGTGCTGCAGGTACCTCGAAGACGAAGCTGGAGCAACGGCGCTGCAGGTAAGTGACCCCTGGCCTCCGCCCATCATCTCTACCACTAAATATCTATGGCGCCTAGGGCTGGAGACTACAGCTACCTACTGCGCCCAGCGCTGGAGACTACTAGCTAACGCTACTCTACTACAACGCAGCGCTCCCTCCAGAGTGCTGCTCCCGAATCCTGAAGGCTACAACAGTCGAACTGCCTACCTCGAAAGTGCCTGGGAAGTCCTATGTACTTCATCGGCCTGCCTCCCGACTGCAGGAGGGCGAGCAGGCCGAGGAGGCAGCTCTTGCCAATGCCGAAGTGTGCCAGGGGCTGGCGTGCAGTAGCCTGCTTGAGGCAGGCGTGGGAACAGTCTAAATATAGGTTGTTCTCAAAACCCTGGTTAGGTGCCTGAGTTTCAGGACCGGTCGTTCTGGTGAACGATCGAAAATGGCCCTTGGGTTCAGGCTAAAAATGCTATTACCATTTTTAGTCTGAACCGTCGCAGGGGCTGTAGGCCCTGAAAGTCAGGCTTTCGGCCTGAACCGAAATGGGGTCTGTAAGCCTTGAATTTCAGGCTTTCGGCCTGAAATCCAGGGTTTTGGCCTGAATCCAGTCGGGCCTGCAAAATGGCCCGTGTGTGCACGTGCTGCATGTAACACCCCCCCCTCCTTATGAAGTCAAGCCGGGGCGAGGGCGAAGCCGTCGGTTTGAAGGTGGAACCTGGACGCGGCGCGGCGTGGAGTCGAAGAATCCGGCTTGCCTTGCGTCTTCCATTCGTAGCGTGCGAGAACGTCTGGAGTTGTCGCTTGCAGTTCCGCACCGGTCAACCAACGATCAGCTCGATGAGTGCAGTAAGCAAAATGCACGAGATACTCAATTGGATTGTTGCCGTAGCGTCGCTGGGAGATGATGTCGCCGACCTCCTGAAAACCATCCATAGAAGGTGGATCCTGCGTACGTCTCCCGAAAAAATCATCATGTTCCGCAGGGGTGTACAGAGCCAATTTGGAACAATGAAAGACTGGGTAGACAAGCAAGTGGCTAGGCACCTGAATCGTGAAGGAAGGCCCTTCAGGTGCGTCCCCAGCGGGCTCAATGATCGGCCAAGGCCCCATCCATTCCGGAAGGAGCTTGCGAGACATGTCCTGTTCAAGGCTGAATTCCGCTGCTGAAATGCAGACAAGGTGCCCGGCGCGGAATGAACAAGGAAGACGCTGGCGATTTGCCTGTTGGCTCATGCGCTGCTGCGTCTTAGCCATCTGGTCGCGTGCCTTGACAAGAAGCTCTTGCATCCGACGCAAGAAAAGCAGATGGTCGTCGCTTTCGGCCGTGCGTGGAGTGAGTGTCCAACGGTGACGTGACCGGCGAGCCGTGCTCGAACTCGAAGGGCGATATCCCAATAGCCGTGTGGATGGAAGAGTTGTAAGCCAACTCAACGTCTGGCAGTCGCTCAACCCAATCTTTCTGGTCTGGGCGGATGAGAGTGCGAAGRAGAACCTGTGCGGTCTGATGCGCCCTCTCCGTCTGGCCATCGGTCTAAGGGTGGCGAGCTTAACTGGGCTTTAGAGATGAGCCCCATCGCTTGATGAACGCTAATAAAAAATCGGACATGAACCGAGTGTCGCGGTCGCAGACGATCTCCTTGGGGTAACCCTTGGTGCGAATCCAACGGGCATAGAGAACCTCGGCCAACTCCGGTGCCTTGATATGATAGCGGCAAGGCAGAAACATGGCGAACTTGGTGAGTCGGTCGACCACCGTGAGAATCCCATCCACTCCGGTCTTGTGCTTGGGGAACGGGCTGGTAATGTCCATGGCAATCGCTTCCCTTCGCCGCAACGGGACTGGCAATGGTCGTAACTCGTCGTACGGACGATGGTTGCGGGATTTGCAGCGTTGGCAAACCTCACATGACTCGCAATAGCGCGTGACGTCGCCGAGAAGGCCGAGCCACCAAAATCGCTGGCGAAGTCGGCCAATCGTGCGATTGACTCCAAAATGTCCAGTGGCGGGAGCGTCGTGGAACTCGCCAAGAAGTCGTGTACGCAAGTGAGGATCACTCGGTACGCAAAGAACGTCTTTCCCCCGCGTGTGGACAAGCAAGTACCCCTCTTGGATCCGATAGTGAGAAGGAGCCGGATTAGGAGAGGAGCAATTCGCGTACTTGTCGCGAAAATCGGGGTCGGCTTGGTAGCCGCGGATGAAGTTGTTCCGCAGGTCGTCGTCAATCTCGAAGGTCGAGTAGACTGCGGTACAATGACCCGGACGACGTGAGATTGCATCCGCAAAACGGTTCGACTTTCCGGGAATGTGATCGGGAAAGAAGTCGAACTGGTTAATGAAAGTCATCCATCGCGCGATGGTGTTGTTGACGGTGTCTTGGGTCTTGTAGAAGACCAACGGATTGTTGTCCGTCACCCAGCGAAATTGGCTTCGACCAAGGAGGAAGTGCCGCCACCGCTTGAGCGCGTGGACGAAGGCGAGGAGCTCCTTCTTGCGTGCATCGTCAATGGAATGCACAAGAGGCACTTTCTTGCTGAAGTATTCGACCGGGTGCCAGTCCACACCATCATGTTGCTCGAGGACTGCACCAATACCATAGCCTGACGCATCCGTAGTGACGCGTGTACGCGCGAGCGGGTCGTAGATTCGCAAGACCTCCACAGACAATAGCGCGGCTTTGAGAGCGAAGAAGGATCCTCGCGCCTGCTCTCCAAAGTCAAACGGCCGATCCTCGCACTGAAGCTTGTTCAAGTGGACCGCGATCTTGGAGTAGCCTTTGATGAAGCGCTGATAGTAGCCGGTAAAACCGAGGAACGAGCGGACATCCGTGAGGTTCCGAGGCTCCGGTCACTCTTGGACGACCTGAATCTTGTCCGAAAGCGGACTCATGCCCTCCGGTGTGACAAAATGGCCCAAGTATTCCAGCTCTTGCAGGACAAATTCGCACTTGTCGCAGTTAGCCTTGTACTTGGCATAACGGAGCGTCTCCAACACTCGTCGAAGGTGTCCAAGATGATCCTCCAGTGTCCGGCTGTAGACGAGAATATCGTCTAAGTAGACCAGCACGAACCG